TACTTTTATCCAAGAAGCAGATGTCATTAATCTGTCTTTGTTTATTTTTTATACATTTTTTACCTTGTAGATGTCAATCTGTGTCCATTTGTTAAATTATTTTAGTGTTATAATGATGGAAACAGATAAATAGTCACTTGTAGCGTGCTCATAAATGATTAAACCTCTGATAAAGAAACTGTCAATTGTAGTCCACACAGTGTTAACGCCACAGGCTAAAGACAAACAAGCCACCTGCATCACTAATGGGGCAAATTTCAGTGGTTAACTGACCACCTCAGAGGTGTGTGTGGGTTTTCCCTCATATCCGAGAGGTTTACTGGATGTGGAATTGACGCAAAACAATGTATTATTTGTAGTTTATGCATAACAAAGTGTTCAATAAACTACATTTTTAGGTTTTTAGAGATATTTGAAGACAGTGAAGGTGAGATAACAAACCCCAACAATCAGACAATACCCTATGTGCAAGCACTTGGCGACTGTGGGAAGGAAAAACTCCTTTTTAACAAGAAGAATCGTCTGGCACAGGGGTGGGCAATTCCAGGCCCCGAGATTTTAGATCTCACCTTGGGTCAACACACCTGAATCACATGATTAGTTCGTCACCAGGCCTCTGGAGAACTTCAGGACATGTTGAGGAGCTAATTTAGCCATTTAAATCAGCTGTGTTGGTTCAAGGACACATCTAAAACCTGCAGGGACACCGGCCCTCGGGGCCTGGAATTGCCCACCCCTGGTCTGGCAGAACCAGGCGGCCATCTGTAAGGACAGGGAGACTGGTTAATAAGCAACAGGCCCTCAAAACAGGAATAAAACCTTCTTGGACCTGCAGTTTGTTCAATTATGTTAGTCGAAGCCTAATAGAAAGCTAGTAGGGCATGCTTTTCAAAGCTGCCACTCTCTGCCCTAACGATGTGTAACTTTTTACGGAAGTTGAATTTATATTATAATTGGATTTATAAATAAATTCACATCCTCAGAAGTTGTTATCAAGAAGAAAGTTAGCAACAGAGACAAAAACTTTGTTTTTAGGCTGTAAACTTGTTTGTTGTTGTTATAAAGCTGGGCACTTTAACTTGGGAGTCTATGGGGACTGACTTGCTTTCCGAGTCACCATCTAGTGGCTATTTGAGGAACTGCAGTGTTTCTGATTTAGGCACCGGCTGCTGTTTGCATTCATCTGAGGGATCTTAAATGACATTTTTTGAAAGGGTGATTTTTAAAAAGCGCTTCATCGTTCTCCAACGTTTTGCCGCAAAACATGAGAAGACGGACAAACTTAGAGGTGGATAGGCTGACCGACAAAGCTTAGTAATAGGCCCTCCCCGGATTTCACCGTGTGGGACGAAATTAGGAAATATGACTGGAACAACTTGACATGGAAATTCATAAATTAGTTTAAAAGCTCTGAAAAATACCCCCCTACTCCCCAATCCTATGAGTGATATCTGGGCCAAACAGAAGCTGCAGCTGATGTAAGATGAATCATTCATGATCACAGTGTGGACTCATGAAAAATTGCAGAATACAGCAGCAAAAACAAAAAATCAAAACCAAGCAAACAACAAATATAAACAAGCTCAATGTACTTTTGTCTTCTTGTTTACTTTTCCTCTGCAGTTCCCCATGATCAATGAGTTTGGTGAGGACACTAACTCCTACTGCTCATTTGAGAGCAAAGAGACGGCGATGCTGCACTCAGAAAACGGCAGCCTGCAGCAGAGAGTCAACGCCCTGACCCACGAGGTAAGAGAACAGACAGGACAACAAAAAGGGGAAGGATTGAGATTGGGAATAAATATTGGGGGAAATCCATTTTACAATGTGTTCATTTATTTTTTTATAACTGGATGAAGTAAAAAGCTTATCACACTCTCAAATCCTACAGAAATCCTCCCTTCCTGTGAATTAATTGAATTAAAAATGAATTGAGGCCATCCCTGGTGGACATATACTGAGAGATGTCCAGAACTAATTAAGTACTAAAGCTGCTGCACGAGCAAAATTACTCATATTGGGTGTTTTTAAGGAGCGGTGTGACACAGGATTTTCATGCTGGTGCTCTATTTTGGTGGCGCGGTATAACCGGGTCTAAACCTGGCTACAGATGTGCTTATCGTGTAAACCTTCAGAAAACAAATGCTAAAAAAAGGCGCGCCTTTTTACAAACACACAGGCATCACACATTTTTAAATTAGTGCACGCATAATGTGTGCACGCTGCACGCAAGCACTAATTGTGGACTTTATGTGCTCCCGCTGTCCAAAAGCTTGATGAATGGCTGCGCCCGAAATGTGCTCGGACTACTTGTTTCTCCTCACTTGTAACTCTCCTGTTTCGAAGTCTGTGAGAACAAGAGCGTGGGGAAATACAAGTGAGAAACGACTGACACAGGAAGGCCGTGGTAAAACTGGTAGCAGCAGCGGTAAAAAGAACTACACAGCAGAACAAAGGGAAGGAAATGGTTTATGGGAGCAGCATAAACGATTAGCGTGGGACATACAAGGTCATGGGGCGCTGGTACCATGCAGTCAGAGTGATTAAAAGGGTCATGGCTCCGCGAGCATGCTCTGTTGGTACAAGACCCTGACCACAAACACCTATGCATGCTGACAGGCACAAACCTTATATTTTCAATGAAGTGGTGACCTCCAATAATCAAAGGCAGGTAGAGAAAAGTGAATTACTGTACAGCATATAAATGTACAGTTTCATGTATCATCACACAATCATGTGAACATTCGCTTTGGGAACTTTTTTCATTTTTTCTGCCCCCGTTTTGCGTATAATAATATTTTTCAGCGATTCCCTCAGTGAACCCACATACGCACGCTCTGAGACACATCAGGGTTTTTTTTTTCAAACTCCTACAAAATCTTTTCTTTTTATTTCACCTTTGCTTTGATGTGAGGAATTTTTTGTCCTTTACCTCTGAAACCAAATATACATAACTGTACTTTTATCGCACGGTCTGTAATTTCTGTGTTGGTGTTCCTAATTTTTTGTTTTTAACTTAGTCTATTTTTATTTGAACTTTCACCCCTTCCTAAACATAAATAAGCAGTTTTAGTGTCAAAGCAAAATTAAAAGCTATATCTGAAAATTTATATTTTATGCTTTTGCCATTTTTGGTTTCATATGGGACACAGACCCGAGTCTCTGGGTTAAAGTCCTGTGTTTGATCCTTTGATAAACCTAAACCATTAGTTTAAGTGGACTTTAATAAAATGTCACTTTCGTCCACTATAAGAAGTGTGTTAATGTGTTTTGCAGACAACAAATCATAATGCGTGTCCATTTTCTATGATTATTTGGGCTTCTCTTGCAGGATCCGGGCAACTTGCAGTTGCTAACCTGCATTAGTGGATGGCACAGTTAGCCCGTGCAGTGATTTCCATGACAGAAGCATGCCTGTTTTTAATGCAATGCTGCCTGAGGGCCCAAAGATCACAGGGATCCAATACTGAATATCAGCCTGCACAGATATTTCTCCAGAAAATCTGCATCTTATTATGCACATCCCATGAACTTCAAAAATACCTGATATTTTTCTTGTGGTACATTTTCTCAGTTTAGACATTTTCAACATTTTTTTCCATATTCTATTGTGAACAGAGATGGGTAACGCGTTACTGTAATCCGATTACTTTTTTCAAGTAACGAGTAAAGTAAGGGATTACTATTGCAAAAACGGTAATTAGAATACCGTTACTTTCCCGTAGGAACGCTGCGTTACTGCGTTACTAAAACCGTGA